GTATGAGTTACAATTAAGAGAATAATGGTATCAAAGTACTACTAAAAAATTTTCTCACGATAAAATTAATTAATAAAAAGAGTTTTCATTCTCCAATTTGTAACAAAATTATGAAAACTATATATATATATATAAATAATTTTTCAATGAGAATGATTCTAACATAAATATTGAGTCTAGCTTGATGTTATGTAATTCTTATTTTATAATTTATTATTGTTGGATTGTAAATTTTTTTTAAAAAAAAATTGATATATTATTAGAGTAGTATCAAAATAGTAAAAGAAAAAATTGTTTTTTAATTTAAATTGTTTTAAATAATAAAATAATAATCTTTTAAGTGAGAAATAGAGCTTTTTAATATTAAAATTTTTTATTTAAAATTTATTATTTTATAATTTAAAACAATATAAACGATAAAAGAGTAAAACCATGATGCAATGGTGGGCCGTAGCTTTTAAAAGATGCTTTAAACTGCAGAGAGGCATTTCCCAGCGTCATGCCCAGATTTAGGACACGACGACTTACCAAAAAGTCACATAAATACCCCTATCAGATCTAAAATTACTTCTCTACCCCATCTCAGATTACGAAGTTGGACCCTCCAAAAAATCCCCCCGACACGGCCCATCAACTTCCGCCGGAGCTCTTTGGCATCAGACAACCACCGCGTAACTCCAAAAGCACTGAAACAACAAACCTGCCGCATTCTCTATGTCTCTCAAAAAAAAAAAAAAAAATCAATTTTAGTGCAGAAGAATGATACAACCTACTGTTTGGATTCCGAGAAAGAGTTGGAAAATGAAGAGCAAATGCAATTCAATTTAGTTAATCTTTAAAATTGAAGAAAACGCTTCAGAGTGAAGAATCTGCAGGGGACAGTATGGGTCGGATTCCACAAAGATTTCTTTGTCTCATTTTCCGGTCTCTGTATTTTCCCCGGTAGCAATCACTAAGCTAAAGAGAAAATTGAAATTTGAAATGACAAAATTAAGGGAAGGGAAAGGAGATAAGATTTTGATTTTCCATGGCCGTCCATGTTCTCTTTACACTGAAGAACTACAAAATAGAAACAAAAGAAAAAAAAAAAGAAAAAAGAAAAAAGAAAAAAAAAACCTGAGAACTTCCGTTTTCTTCTCCTCTGGTATTTACAGGAATAAGGAAAATAAACTAGTGAAAAACCAAAACGACCTCGTTTTCCACCTCTAGTTCATTTTTGCTGTGTTGTTTTTTTGTAACCGTTGCCTGCTAAGCTTCCAAAAAACAGTCGTCGGCGAAGGACCCAAGCAGATCCGGGAGATCACGTGAGTCGACGCCGAGACGCAGCGCCTCCAGGACACGCTCGAAGACGAGGACGTGACAGGGGATGTGAAGCACGCCCTTCTGCTCGTACCCATACTCCTGCGCCGACTTGTTGAGAAGCCCGACGAAGACGGGATGGTTCATCAGCTCCGCGCTGACCACGAATCTCTCCATCTCGTCTCCGACGTAGACCGGCACGTGTCCCTCCGGCACTGATGGGGGCGAAACCCCACCGCGTCTGAAGGATTTCTGCTTACGCTTGCAGCAGCGGCCGGACTGATCGGATCTGAGGAGGCTGTACTGGGCGGATGAGGAATCCGCGACGCGAGAGAGTCGTCGAATTAGTTGCTTCATCTGATTCTTGAGGAAAAAAAACCGAATTTTAGGAGTTGAAGCTATCGTTCCCAGAGGAGAGGGAAACAGAAGGAAATGATTTGTGAGAGAGAAGGGAAGTTGGGTGGAAATGGGGGGAAAGGGGTGCATTTATAAAGGGGAAAGAAAGAGAGAGAAAAGAAAGGAAACACAAAGAAAGGGCGATTACGAGAGGGAGAGGTACAGGTAGGCGTACTTGGCAGGTACAATTAGTAAGGGGGATTAAAAAAACTATTTATTTTATTTATTTGTTAATGGGTCGGGTTTTATAAATTGTAATCGGTTCGGGTAGAGGAGGTGGAGACTTGGAGCCTTGAGGCAAAGAAAGAATGAGTTAACAGATTCATAGATTTAAGGCTATAATACAGGCTGTACAGCTGTGTTTGGATAAAACTTATATTTCCATTAAGATTGCGTTGGCAATGAATTGTGCTTTAAATTCGAT